TCATATATCCAATTCAGCCATTCCAACAGTGGATAACATAACCTCTTACCACAGGTGAACAGAAAAGAACTACATTTTTGACATTCTCCTCCTGCAAAGAAGCCTGCCCTGCCTGAACACACTACTTCACTTCCAGGCTCTAGCAGGTAGAAGAGCTCTGCTTAGCAGAAATATTGTTTTTTAACTTTTTAGTGAATTTTTTTTAAGCTTTAATTTATTAGCTTTCCTTATTCCCCAAGAGAGTAGAAGGGGAATATTGAATCTTAGGTCATGTATACATTGGGTATTTTCCTGAGTTGCTAGCCACCAGAATAGCACCACCAGTATGAATCCCTAGTGTAAGCAAAGGAAGCCACAACATGCCACAGTGGCACTCCTCTGGGGTGCCAGTGAAAATCACAACTTCCCATCTCTACATAAGAGGTTTTCACCAGTGCAGTTACATGCACGGCTGGCCAGTGAGTGCTGGAAACAGAATATGCTCCACATGGCCAAGACCTTAGATGTTTGCCTGACTCAGTAGTCAGACGCTCAACCTCCCCTGCCTCTTCCTTTGAAACAAAGGAAAAACTTCAGTTCAGGTTTCAGCCTTGGGACATCGCCATCCAGGGTTGTACAAAGATCTTGACAAAGTCCTCTAATAAAATGAGGGAGGAGGAGGGCCTGGTATCCAAATATAAGACACATGCAGAAGAGGAATTAACCTTTTTGAGAGGGAAAAAAACAAACTTTGCCTTGTATATAATAAGAGCCTTTAAATCCATGACAGCATCCACAGATTATTTTTAAAATGCAGTGCACAGTTTTAGATATGAGTTCAGAGAGACAGCAAATCTCATCTCAAAACCAGAACAGAAAATGAGTGATCTGTTGACAGTTTAAAAAGTAAGTTGTAATGGCTGAACCTGTGACCAAGCTATAATGAGAAATTCTTCTCCAGTTTATTTAACTAACCTCAAAAACATCTATTGTAGATTTGGCTGGGATTTAACAGTCCATTCTCTCTTCCCCTTCCCCCACCTCCAAGTGATACAAACACAAATGTTAATATTTAAAGCTCCCCAGACCGCTACTTTAAAACCAAACATCTCTTACAAAGCTGAATTGAACCATCTGGTAGAAGTCACTGACATAGCAGTAAGTGCTGCCTCTTGAAAACCTGATTCAGCAAAGTGGAGGGAAGGCTGAAGTTAGTGGGGGGATTTGTGTCAACTGAGGAGGCCTCCAAAGCTGAAATTGCAGCATGGATCAGCTGGGAATTCATCCCCCTTGCTTTTCTTCATGGCAGGATGAAATCTCCATTCCCCCAAATTGACGTAAGTAAGAAAACAGATTCTTTATACTGTCCTAGAACTTTAAAATTCCCGTTGTGCAAGGTGACAAGGTAGGTGAGATAATATCTTTCATTGGACCAACTTTGTTGGACTGCCTGTTGTGCAGGATAGCTGCCAATGAACAACATTGAGTTCATGTAGAAAGGACTCTCCTTTCTTCCAGGACAGATATGTTAGTTGCAAAACATTTTTTTTAAGGCTTGTTAGGTATTTAATTTCATGCTGATAAGCACATTGTAAATCAGCAGGAGCTGCCAAAAAACAGGCCACTTAGTTGAGAGCCTAAATATAGATTTCAGAGCCTAATTTTAGACCCCTCAAGTATGAACATTTTGGCCTAAAATATTCAACTACATTAATTTAGTTAAATGTCATGGCATGGTTTATAATATAGCAATAATTACTACTCTGCAGCCTGCCACATAACCCACATGTTGCGTGGTCTGCCTGATATAAGTTACATTTGTTAGGGGTCTATACTTTTTTTTTTCTTTTTGTGAAATAATATGGCTTTTCCAAAATTGCGTAATCGGTTTCTCTTTTCATATACTCTATATACCACATCTATTCCCTGTTAATCAGTGTTGTTCATGGGCTTTTGTTGACTTAATTCTGTATGCTAAGGGAGTGGAATGTTTGCTGGCAAGAAATGCTGCTATTCCTTTAAGAACGACACATTAATCTTCCCTTCAGTGAATAGTCAGTCTAAAATCCAGTGCTTTACAAGTTTCAGACCAGGCTATTTATCAAGAGGAGACTGTTCATTTTTCAGAAGGGCAACATGTATGCAAAGATGCATTTGTGACAGTATGGGGAGTGGATAGCAAAATATAACTTAATAGCTGCTAGCTTTTTCTTTTTTAAGTAAGCTAATACAAGTTTAAAACATTGAACTTTGACTTTTATATTGCTCTCTAGATTCATGCTGCATTGAGGCACTGTCACAAGTAATGCAGTCAATTGTACTTTGTAATATATCAGATTCTATGTAATACCCTCTACATAGGTGTAAATAGTTTATATAAATTATGCCATCTTTTTCGTCCTACTTCAGTAACCACAAGCTGAGCTGTTTTTTTTTTCCTACGTTAATAGTTCAGTGGGAGCTAATGGGTGTCCTGTCTTATGAAAACCAGGACACTTATTTAGTTGGCTGAATATGGATTTAGAAGCCAAACTTTAAACTCCTTTTAAAAAGAATCTTGGCCTCTGCTGCTTTCTTTAGCCTGAACTTCCTCTTCCTCTATCCCTTAACTGTTCTGTATGTCAGTTGGTTGCTACCCTCTGTCCCACTGGTGGCTGTGATTCACTGGGACTGTATGCAGAGTTTATAAAGCAAGCTCAAAGGTAATTAACACATAAAATAATAGGGAGAAAGTTTATTATTTGGATTACTGTAGCGGCTAGGAGTCCTATTCGTGGACCATGAACCCACTGTGCTAGGTGCTGTACAGACACACCCTGCACCCAAAGAGCTTACAGTCTAAGAATGAGACAAGACAACATATGGATGCAGACATACTGGATAGTACAAGGAAACAATCAAACAATATTGACAGGCAGTGGTCTCGGTATACCAACAGCCTAATTGTGTAGGCACCATGGGGTTTGAAGGAGGATAATGTTAGCTTTGCTAATTTGGGGGAGGGGGTGGAAGGGGGGGCTCCTTCCAAACATAAGGGGCAGCATGGGAGAAAGCAAAGCTGCTTGTTCAAGAATTTAACAAGTGGGTGATGGAGGCTGGCACTCTGGGCCAGTCACAGGTGACATCTCAGTAGTGAATGAGAGATGATAGGGAGGGGTGGGGATAGGCCATGAAGGGCCTTGAAAGTGATGACAAGTAGCTTGTGTTTGATGCAATAGAGAAGAGGGGTCAGTGGAGTGATGCAAAGGAGTCAAAGCGACAGGCTAGGAAAATGATCATTGCAGCAACTTTTGTAATGGATATAAGCAGGGCATGGTTGCATTTGTCATTTGGATAGGGAAGGCTGTATTTTAGAGATGTTACGCAGACAGAATCAACAAGATTTAGACATAGTCTGGAAGTGAGGACCCAGAGAGAGGTCCTAGTCAAAGATGACACCCAGGTTACTGGCCTGAGTGACAGGCAAGATGGTAGTGTTGTCTGTTGTGTTAGAGGAAAGAGGAAGCAGAGAAGAACTAGGGGGGATAATTAAGAGCTCGGTTTTAGCCATGTGGAGCTTGAGCTGACCACTAGACATCCATATGGAGATGTCAGAGGAATAGGCCAAGATTTTATTTTGGACAGGACGAGAGAGAGAAAGATCTGTGAGTTGTCAGTATAGAGAAAATAGTTGAATTTGTGTTTATGGATAAGATCACCAAGAGATAATGGCAGAGGGAGAAGAGAAAGGGAACCCAGGACAGAGCCCTGCGGAATCACACAAAGTTGAAGGAGGGACAGTCCTCCCCAGGACACACTGAATGATTAGAGAGGTAGGAGAACTAAAAAAGAACAAAATCACAGAAACCAAGGGAGGATGAGATTTCAAGATGATGACCATGGATGACTGTGTCAGAGGTGGCAGACAAGTTAAGGAGGATGAGGATGGAGAACTGGTTCTGAGATTTGGCTAGGAAGAGGTAATTGGAGACTTTGGCTAAAGTGATTTCAGTGGAGTGCAAGGGGTGGAGGATGGATTGGAGAGAGTCTAGGATGGAATTAGAGGAGAACTACTCCAAGCAGTGATTGTAAACAGCACATTCAATGAGCTTAGAGATGAAAAGGAGATGGGGTTGTAGTTAGAGAAGCAAATGGGGTCAAGGAGTGTTTTTTTTCAGATGAGAGAAATTAAACTGTGCTTGTATTGAGTGGGAAAAGCTAGAGGAGAGGGGGAGGTTATGGAGAACAGTAAGGGAGGAGATGAGAGTGGGTGCGAGGGAGATCAGGGGATGGGATTGGATGGGGTCACTGGGAATAGGGAGCAATCAGGAAGGAGCAGGTAGAGCTGGTGGGAATACTAGAGGGATGATGTTAACAAGGATGGGGGAAAGAGGAGGAGGAGGACGGATGCTATGTTGCAGAAGAGGGGTGTGGTGAGAGCTATGGGTGAGTGGTAGATGGATAAAGTCCCCCCAACCTCCGAAAATCAATTTAGCATTGTCTGTAATGTTTTACTACTTAACTATAAAGCACAGAGATCCTGGGTATGAATAGCATGTTATGAACAAGAAGCTATTTCTACCCATTATATGTTACTGATGTACAAATTGTGCAGGGGACCCTATCCCCCTCAACTAATTTTAAGGCAAATTAATTTGTGAATACCAAAGGGATAAACAAACAACTACTGTGCATTAGTCTCCACCCAAAAAAATTTTTATAATGTTCCCTTCTATTTGTCTAAGTATATTTTGCATTTCCTTTCTCTGTAGTTAATTGTGTGTATATATATATATGTATGCATATCTTTTTCCTTACATTGTCAGTACTGTGTTGAGAATTTAAGTATGTGGCCGTTTTATACATTATCATTTTTTGCTGGCTGGGTTGAGGCTGACGAACAATGTTGCGGAAAGAATACAGACTGCCTACTTTCACTTTTGTTCTCAGTTGTGCATTTTTACTTCCCTTACAGAGCTGAAGCAATGCCCCATTGGCCCTCTAAGCCTGTCATTTCTGAAATATTTTTTGTTTTATTTCAGGTTACCATTGGTCAACTCTATTCAACCCAGAAACTTGTTATTGAGAGTCCAGAAAACACAGAGATAATCTGATCATCTAGCACCGTTGGACCATCCTCAGCATTCTGTAGTGCTGCACATCCAACATAGCATTTGAAAAACTTATCTGTCTAGTAAAAGATAAAGCTTTTGAGATGCTCAGTTTTGGCAACCAAAACAGTCTAGAATTTCTCTTCTCATGGTTCATGCACTAAAATGTACTGCTAAGCCTACAATAGTGTGTAATGTATTCCTAATATCCGGGTTGCTAGTATTTCATGTGTAATGAGACTGTTTCTTGGCCTTATTTGACAATAAAATTCCATGAACCGAATACTTGTAATGAGATATTTTCTTCTCCCAGTGATCTTGCTAACTTACCTGGCTTATAAAGGATACCAATTATGTTTCAACCAATGATACAATTGTTTAAAATTACTTTTTACATTGAGCCCCAGTTAATATAGAAATACGCAGCCTACAGTGAATAAACTAAATAGCTGAATTTGTATGGACCTGGTGTGGGTAAATTCGTGTTAAATAATTTATTCATTAAAGCCATGTGAAATTTGACAGAGGCCTTTAAGTACAACAAAGATATTTTGTTATATCCTGGACCTCAACACCTACAAATATCAAAGGTTAGACTGTGTGTTTTCATTTAAAACCAGTCTCATCTCACTTCTCAGTTAATAGCGCTCAGTAATAGAATTTTAGCCTCATGTTACTGAGACTTCAGAACTTTTAAAATAAAATTTCATCACTGTTTCTTATTTTAATATACTAAACTGCAACTGGCAATATAAAGGAACAAAGTATATTTTGCTATACAAAAATTTTGTATATTACCCTCATTACAGATACTTGGAAAGTTAGATAATTGAGTGTGAATGGTGAGGTTGGTATATTTAATTCAGAATTCATACAAATATTTTCTAATTTCTGTTGAGTGTGCAAGTTTCTACACGCTGGCTCAGTCTCTCATGCCTGTTTTGCAGGGACTATCTCTAGAGGCTGAAGGCAGTTCAGTCTTGATGCCCATTCAGTAGTAGATCCAGTGAAACTCCCAAAGTGGTTGCTTATTGCATTCTATTCACCTTCACTTACTTACAGTAATGCCACAAAAAAAGTAATTTTTAAAAACATCCATTTTTTAAACTGAATAAATATAGCCAATAGCAAACAGACATTTCTAAAGCTTTCTGTAATTATTTATGGGCCTCATTCAATGCACACATTGAGTAGCATATTGAAAGAAGTGGGGTTTCTTAAGAGATTCTCCTAAGCCAACAACTCAGTAGCTTCACCTTAAGATTCCCCTTTCTTGCAATGTTCCTGTGCGCTACAAGAGAGAAAATTCCTGAACTGCTTTAAAATGCCCTTTTTTTTTTTAAATTTATTTGAAAAGTAAATTACACCTGCTAAGACAGCGTGCTAAACAAGAATGGAATCTTTTTTTAAATCAAGTTTTATTCACTTCAGTGCTCTGAGTTCGCTATTATGTTTTCCACTAGAATATACAGAAAAATTACTCAGTATAAAGCTTCAGCACAATGTACAGCGAGAGCTTTATATGAAGTAGACAGAACTTTAAACCAGGACCGTGCCTGTTACCTTTAAAGAAGCTGCATTTGTGGAGGCAAAGGGGCATACTTTCTATTTCTTTTGTAAACGAAAGAGAGTATCAAACTGAAATGACAGAACTAAGCAATGAACGTATGTAAGTGATTAGTTTAGAAGTACTAATTCCCAAAACTTATTTATAAAATTTTGTAGAATTATTTGTAGAATTACCTGTATTTTAATATAGCATTCTGTTAACTATGCAAAATAAAGTGTCACTACTGTATTTAAGACTACAAACCTGTCTTAATACTGCTTTTCACATGGAAAGCAGATACTGTAGTATTTCTGCATTTGTTAGATACATAAATAAAGCAAATAGATCGCTTTGCTACAGCATTAATATATCATTTTATTAAAATAGATTTTTTTAAACTAGGCAGAATGCCATGGACTACAGTTTAAAAACAAGGCACTAACACTTTAAAATCCTAAAATACACCTAACCAAGCTAATTAGAACACTAGCATTGATGGTAAAAGGACAAGGGGGGAAAGATTTAAGTGTCACTAAAGCATTTAATAGCATTTGCATTGCTAATAAAAATTATACAAGTGTCTTCTGTGAGACACAGTATAGATACATGTATAATGTTACTACAACCCTTCTAAGGGTATGTCTATACTGCAATTAAACCCGCAGATGGACCATGCCAGCTGAATTGGGGTCACGGGGCTCGTGCTGAGGGTCTTTTTTAATTGCATTGTATACCTTCTGGCTTGCTGGAGCCTGGGTCCAGGACACTGCGAGGGTCCCAGAGCTTGGGCTGCAGCCCAAACTTCTACACTGCAATTAAACAGCACCTTACCCCAAACCCTGTAAGCCCAAGTCAGCTGACACGGGCCAGCCGCCAGTGTCTCACTGCAGTATAGACATACCGTATGTGTGTCATTATCAGTCAAATTTTCCTTAGCCTGCAAAGGGGCACTTGTAGTTTTAAGGATGCATATTGTGCATATGATATGCCAGAGCGGAGGCCTCTGTGCATAGAAATGTGTAATACAAAGTAGGTTGAGCAGGCTCATTTTATTTTTTCATTTGAGGAATCGGTTACATAAGACTTTAAGAAGTTATCCATGGGCTTCTTATACAGCATGGCTACATTGCTTAGTTTCTAAGCTTACCTAAGGAGACTGTTCAGTCCTTAAGCACTAACCAACTTCAGTTATACAAAAGATATAAAATTACTTTATTTAATAAGGTGCAAAGTTAGAAAATGAAATAATCTAGTACAATGATTACTTGTAAATTGCAACACAATTAGTGCATTTAAGGATGCTCCTTGGAGCAGGTGTATACAACAAGAATGTTTCCCCCACTGATGCACAGTCTGTGTATCTTCTATTAATATTAATGATAGTAGCATGTGCAAATCTATTACACGTGACTGGAACAAGAGACCCATTAATATTCTCTGTTAAATGCATAATGATTAGTATTGCATTTGTTGAGATAACATATCCCCTGTATATAAAAACTATTGTCAAATACTGTATGAAAGTAATCCTATCAACTATGGAATGAAAATGTACTACTGTACTTCCCACTGCTCATTTAAAAATACCCTTTTTTGATATTCTATTTTCACTGGTTATCAATGAAATTGTTTACTGGATTTTTGTCTGAGCAATGGAAACAATATAAATATGTGAACATTGTCGGTAAAAGGGTTCCCAGTGATTTAATTTCATGTCCCCCTATTCCAAAAGGGATATTTGTTTCTGATTTACAGCAGAAGAAAATGTTAAGAACTCTTACTAATTCTGTAATAATAATTCTTAAAATTACTTAGTAAGATACTAATTTTTGTAGTATGACACTGAAAGATCATTTGCTTCACACATGTACCTTCAGCTGTCCCTGATCTCAGCAACCTTTGACTTTAGTGATTTGGAAATGATATGGCTCAGTTATCATGCTCCAAAATTTGGCTGTTTACATATATCAAAGGTCAAATAAGAGCTTTTAATAGAAAAATGCAAACAGTATTCTGAAAGAGAGCAGAAGACAACCTCTGAACTGCCCTAACATGAATAATTGTCTAAAGGACAGGCAGTTCTACAACCCTGTTGACATCTGATTAGATAGTCCTACTACATTTAGAGGATTATTTTAAAAGGCCTGGAAATACCAGCGGTATGGCCATGGTGAGGTGAAGCAGACCCGAGGTTACATACAAACGTTTTTTCCTGCTGATCACATATACTGTTCTTGTTTAAACATGCCATCAACATAGGGATGTTAAACTGACTCTGCTCTAGCAAAACTGTACCAACTATTTCTAGCCTAGTGCGTGTCATTAACAACATTACTTGTGCCTCCTAACATGTAAGACACACAGGAGAGCATGTTTTTGTGGAAGCCTAGAAGCACCAGCTCCACAGCACACTTCCCGCCACACGCCCATACCTCCTTAACACTTCGCAGAAGCACCTCCACTAAACTTCTGGCAAGGATCTCCATTTCTCCACAGGTATGTAGGACAGAACTGAGAGGGAGTGGCCAGCTAACCTCTGAATGTTCCCCTGCTCACTCCATAGATATCTAGGATGAAATCCTGGCCTCATTTAAATCAGTGGCAAAATGCCCATTGACTGAAATGGTGCAGGATTTCACTCTTAGGGTGAATGTTAATGCTACTGGAAGCAGCATTAGCACTTGTGAGCTCCACCTAGGGGGTGCTACTGTGCAGCCACCGGAAAGGAAGAGGGGAGGGAAAAACCATGCTGCCTGGAGCAGACAGCTAGCAGGGCAGCTGAATCTCCACAGATCTTGGGAGAGCCATTAATTTAGGGCCGCAACCCCACTGGCCATTCCAGTGGAAGAAAAGAATTCTTTCACCCAATTAGAACATGTTGCTTTTTTCCCCTCTACATATTTAAAAAAAAAAAGGGGGGTGGGGGTGGGGGGAGAGAGGGGAGAATATGGGCCAGAGTTGCTCAATCTGAGGGCAAAAGGAGAAATAAATCCACTTCCTCCTTAAAATGAACATATTCCACTAATCTAAAGAAAAGATTTGTAACTCTCAAAATTGTACAGTGCTTAGATATCACAGTGCTAAATTATGCATTCAAACAATTACTGTTCTACATCCAGAATAAGAGAACTATGAAGACCGGTGAGGAATTTACAAGACTGCTTTTGAAAAAAAGTACATAAAATATTTATACCAGCCTTTGGAAATTCTTCTCACTGAAAACAAGCTTTTTTTTTTTTTTTTTTTTTTTTTTAAACAGACAAGTATTAAAGGTCTTTCATTATCGTGCTGAAAGGCAAGCAAATACATTCTGTGCTTGGACAGGTGAATTTTCATGACAATTCTGTATTGCCATAGACCTGCATTGGGGAGCAATTTTCAAATAGACCAAACAGGTAATCAAATTTTAACTAAGAATTCTGGTCCAGATCATCTCCACTACCTTCATTCAATACACTGGTCCAGCTCCAGGTCCCACTGACGTAAATAGGAGCAGAATTCAGCCTTAAGA